TTGCTATACATTATATAAACGTGGAATTTGGAATTAATAAATATTTATTTTTTTGATTATATTTATTAGTGAAATCGGATTTGATTTCCTCAATATTTTAGATATATATTTTCTATATTTATTTTTATTATGTTTATGGGATTTTTGGAATTTTCTTTATATTATGTTTTATGGATTATATTTCCGATTATTATATTATTGATTTTTATTATTTTATTATAATATTTTTTTAAATATATTGTTTATAATTTCTTTCCATCTCCCCCTCTTATTAAATATTTAAAAATATATTTGCATTACCATTTATATATAATCCTTTATTTATAATTATTTCAGATATATTTGAAAATAATAATTAATTTAATATAATTTATATAGAATAAATTTCGATATAAAAATAATAATATAAATTCATAAATATATATATGAATAAAATATAAATATAATATAAATCAAAGTTAAATTTAAATTAATATATTTTTTATAATTTATATATATATAATTTATATATAATTTATATATAATTTATATATAATTTATATATGATTTATATATAATTTATATATAATATAAAATATATATATTATTATATATTAGATATATATATTAGATATATATATTAGATATATATTAGATATATATTAGATATATATTAGATATATATTCGATATAATTTAGATATATGTTAGATATATATTAGATATATATTAGATATATATTAGATATATATTAGATATATATTAGATATGTATTAGATATGTATTAGATATGTATTAGATATGTATATATATATTAGATTTATATTAGATTTATATTAAATATATATTAGATATATATTAGATATATATTAGATATATATTAGATATTTATTAGATATTTATAAGATATATATTAGATATATATTAGATATATATTAGATATATATTAGGCATATATATTAGATATACAATAGATATATTTTAGATATATATTAGATATATATTTTTTATTTTTAATATATAGATATATTTTTTCGATATATATTATATATTACAAGAATATAATATTATATATATATATATTTCATATATATTGTATATATGACCATTTAATATATATATTTATATGTATCTCGTTAATTCTTATAAATGCAAATACGGAATTGTTTGATTTTTTTAAGATTTAATGAAATTAAAGCATAAAAATATGGATAAAAAAAGGAATATGATATATATAAAAATATAATGAAGAAATAATATATTTGATAATTATAATTCTTTATATTTAAATATGTATATATATTATATATAATTTGTATATATTTTATATCGGGAGAAAAATAATATTTTATTTTGGATATGTTTTTTGTATGCAAAAAATATAAATATATATATAATGAAAATGATTGATAACCGCAATCTCTGAATATATCGGGAATATATATTTTATTTAGATATTT